AATTGAACTGCTGGCTGCACACATAGGGCGCAGGCCGCAGCTGAGGGAGGGCTCGTGACTAGCCAAGCTGGCGGCAAGCAGTTGAGAGGGGGGAAGGGGGGGTTCTACAACCAAACATTGGGTGCCAGATGAAGGCGTAAGTCACAAACAATCCCACACCAGTTTGGAATTATGATTAATAGAATGGTTATTTATTCAAAGGGGAAAAACTTACAGATTACCATCCCAGACAACAGCCCCTCTGCATGAAAAGGAAAGGAGTCTAGGAGCTGGAAGTGGAGCCAGAAGCCAGAGAGAGAATGGAGGACAGCCTCTGCTTTTTGAAAGAGAGAGAGACCATGCCCCAATGGGCTGGTATCTCAGCGGCTATTGGCTTAAGAAGCGGAAGGAGCTCCTGCAGCAATTTAGAATACGATTTGTAACTTAAACAGAAATTTATTCACATGTTTGAACAATTACAGAATAAAATGTACTTCCATATCATGTAATTATATACTTTTCTAATTGATACAGAAAACATGGTTAAATTCAAATTCATATTAGTAGTCATCATTCCATTTGGATGTCATATATAAAGTATATTATAATACTTCCAATAGTTCTATCCTAGGTCTCTGGGATCCGGGAGCTCCAGTAAGTAGTTACTGTAGCGTCAATGGCAAGCTAATTCTTATGGCTTGGGTATTAGGGTAGACCAGTTATAGGTTGTCCATGCCCCCAATCTCTCAGCTACCCTTATCCATGGTTGTCTCATTGGCAGAACTGACTATAGTCAAAGGTTATGTGGTTGAGTTGCCATCTCAGTCTTTTCACTGAAGGTTTTACTTGATCACAGGACACGATCATTACAGGCTACATATCTGACATTGCCAGGAGTCTTAGTTGGGGTCATCCTTGTAGATTAACAGAAAATTCCCTTGTTCCAGGTCTCTACCTGACCCAGAAATCCCACCACCATTCATTCTTCTCTTTAAGAACTTTCTCCCTCCATCCCTACCTCTCCTCAGTCCACTTATGAAATCTCTTCTTTCCCTCACTTCCCAGGGAGATCCAGGAATCCCTCCCATGAACCCTCCATGTTACCTATTCTTGCTGCATCTGTGGACTATAGCATAGTTCTCCTGAATTTTACTGCTAATATTCACTTGTAAGTGAATATTACACACCATGTTTGTTTTTCTGGGTCTGGATTACCTCACACAAGACGTTTTTTTGTTTTTTGTTTTTTTTTTATTTTTTGTTTTTTGGTTTTTTTTTTGTAAATTTTATTAAATTATAAAAGTTTCCATTTCCGCCCCCCCTCCCAACACCCTCCCACTCCCCCTACTCCCCCTCCTCCTCCCTCTTCGTCCC